CACTTCAGTTCTCATCAGAGAGTTCACACAGGTGAGAAACTGTATGAATGCAGTGATTGTGGGAGGTCTTTTGCCCATAATTCAACCCTTAGAACACATCAGAGAATTCACACGGGTGAGAAACTGTATGAATGTAATGCATGTGGGAAAAGTTTCACTCATAATTCAGCCCTCCGAGTACATCAAAGAATTCACACTGGGGAGAAGCCATATGAATGTAATGCATGTGGGAAAACTTTCTCCAAGACATCACATCTCAGTACACATCAGAGAATTCACACAGGGGAGAAACCCTATGAATGTAATGCATGTGGGAAAACTTTCTCCAAGACATCACATCTCAGTACACATCAGAGAATTCACACAGGGGAGAAACCCTATGAATGTAATGCATGTGGGAAAACCTTCTTCAAGACATCACATCTCAGTGCACATCAGAGAATTCACACAGGGGAGAAACCCTATGAATGCAATGCATGTGAGAAAAGTTTCACTCATAATTCAGCCCTTCGTGTACATCAAAGAATTCACACTGGGGAGAAGCCATATGAATGTAATGCATGTGGTAAAACTTTCTCCAAGACATCACACCTCAGTGCACATCAGAGAATTCACACAGGGGAGAAACCTTATGAATGTAATGCATGTGGGAAAACTTTTTCCAGGAAGATACACCTCAGTGCACATCAGAGAATTCACACAGGGGAGAGACCCTATGAATGTAATGCATGTGGGAAAACTTTTTCCCGTAAGACAAACCTCAGTACCCATCGGAGAATTCACACAGGTGAGAAACCGTATGAATGTAGTGAATGTGGGAAGTTTTTTGCCCGTATTTCTGGTTTAAGATCACATCAGAGAATTCACTCAGGGGAGAAACCCTATAAGTGTAATGAATGTGGGACAGCTTTTGCCCACAGTTCAACTCTCAGAGAGCACCAGAGAATTCACACAGGGGAGAAACCACATGAATGTAATGAATGTGGGAAAACTTTTGCTCGTAAGGCAGTTCTTCGGGTACATTATAACAGAAGGCACACTAGAGAGAAAAACCTTCCATGTAATGAATTTGGGAAGTTCTGAAGAAACTGATTATTAAAACACACAGTGGAGAAGGTCATGTCACACAGACTGCAAATGGTTTCCTTTAACTATTTCCTCTTCTAGTAGGCACAAGCATGTCTAACTTTCCCAGTCTGCCTTTCATCCAGGTGGGGGTGGCCATAGGTTATTATGCTATCACATATGAGCTAAGTTTAGCCTTTAAAAATTGCATTCTTCCTGTTTTATGTTATTCATACTGGAATGGAGAGATTTGCAAGGCAGACTTGTGTGCTGTATATTGAGCATAGAGCACAAGGTAGTGATGAAACAATTTTCCACTAAACAGTCTTCCCTGTTTTTTTTTTTTTCTTTAAACAGGAATTACATTTGTACTGTGTTGAGCTCTTAAAGATTTGGTGTATTGGTTAAATGCATATAATTTAGCCAACTCTGTTAGAATGAAGTTAAACCTGTTAACCCTGGGTCATTGGTGCCACTTCAGCACCAACAGGAATCCCTGATTTGGGGTGCAGTGAGGAAGGAAACTTGACTCAGTGCTGTAGCATGGCTGTGAAAATAGCACAGCTGAGGAATAGCTCAGTTGTGATGCAGTGCAGCTGTGAAAACAGCAGGGGCTAGGTCACCCTTGGGCCAGGACTCTCTTTGGCCAGGCAGCTCTGGTCAGCTCCAGTGAGGCATCTCCCATGTTTCAACTGTAGCTGGGGAAAAACGGTCTTCAGTGGAAAGTTTGCTCCCCAAGCCAGAGGGAAGCTGGCTTCAATGGACAGAAGTCCCCGCCCTGGTCTCTGATTGGTCTGTCCTCATGCACATGAGGCATCCAAATCCTCAGTTTGGTCCAAAGGCACTGGTCCTGATTGGTCAGAATAGAGCTGCTCTGATTGAATGGAGAAAGCCTCAATCCAATTGGTAGAAATAGGATTCCAGGAAACCCTTATAAGGGCTGGCTCAGCCACTGGCAGCTGAGGGGTGATAATTCAACCTGTCATTTTATATTATAGAACTCACATGAGGAAGGCAACTTCTGTCAGTGATCCTGAATGATCAGACAACCTCATTAAAAATGAGAGAAATCTCAGGGAAAAACACCAAGGCCTTTACTTCCCAGTTAACTTTATTAAACATCAAACAATTAAGATTAGACTAAAACCTTGTATTTTGTTGTGAAATTCTAACACTTTGAGTTTGCAACAGATAATTTTTTTCCAAGAAAATGTGTCAGTTTCAGAAATGAGTAAAATCTTCACCTAGAACTGATGTACTAAAACTTGCTTTATTATATTAAGTTTTATAGAAAATATTTGTGCACAAACTCACTGTGGACATTTTAAAGATGGAAGAATAGCTTGAATTCTGTGGACAACACTAATAAATGTTTGACTGGTCTCTGAGTTATGTGTACATCTGTGAGTCTGTGTAACAATAGAAGGCAGTAGCTGAACCTGGTCTGGACTGGTTAACTTTTCTGAGCAACACTCTATGTTAAAAGGCAAAAGATTTATGCGATCTGAAGAGAAACCAGAGTATGCAACACTCTATGTTAGTTCTCAACCTTGGCTACACATTAGAATCACCTGGGTATCTTTTTAAAATCCTGATTTCTGGGCATCATCCTTCAGAACTTTTGTTTCTTTGTTATGGGGTGGGGCCACAACATTAGTAACAAAGAAACAGAATTTTCTGAGGATGAGGCCCAGAAATCAGGATTTTAAAAAAGATTCCCAGGTGATTCTAATGTGCAGCCAAGGTTGAGAACCACTGGTCTATGTGCTGCTTCTTTGGCTCCCCTTAGCTTGATGCTGTTCGATGTTGGCCTGCCTGGGATATCTGACTATTGGTCTGGCCCTGTTATTTTAGGACCATAAGATTTCTCAAGCATTCTTTGCATGTGTGGTGGATGTTGATTCTTAAATAGACTTTTGGCCTTCATTTTATGCCGTTTTAGTGGTTCATTTTGCACTGAGTAATTATTAAGCAAGTCTTAGCTCTCTTGTATGCATGTAGCCTGAGTATCCGGTATAGGACCTTTTCCCAGTCCCACGATGCTTGCTGATACTGCAGCATTGCAAACTAGTTGATTTCTGCCCTGCTTGGATAGGAGGATGTAGAATTAGAATGAAATCAGGGCTACTTTCATGTCAGAAGCACTGCATTAGTATTGAAAAGAACTCGCTTTTTTGGGGGGTCGGGGGGGCCGGACAATATAGTATAGTCTTAGCCAAGAAAATATTTGTTCAATCTGTCCTAATTTCAGGCTACATGGTTTGGTCAGCACAGAGAAGCAAGTATATTCCCTATCTTCTATTAATATTACGTGAGGGAACACTGTGTTTTTGTTTGTTTGTTCTTTACCATTAATTGGAAAACAGGTATTTCTTTGACTGGCTTATCATCGCTTTACTTGGTGGCATCACTGCCATAGAAAAAGGCCAGGAGATGAAGCTGATAGTACCACCCGGGCTAGCACACCAGAGACTGGGTTACCACTCCTGTTGGCAGCAGAGTTCCAGCAACTAAGAAACTATATTTGTTCCTCCTCAGTCTCTGCCACTTCGATACAATATGAGCGTGTTGTACGGGGCCAAAAGGGTATCTCTACATGCTTGATTTTTTCAGAAAACTATTGATTTCTAGAAAACTAAAGTACTTTAAATTTTTAGAAAATTAACTTCATTCTGGGATAGTTATAGATTTGAAGAATAGTTAAAATAATAATTCCTATACACTCTTCACACAGTCCCCTTATTAACATCTTTTATTACTCTGGTACATTTGTCATTGCTAAGAAATACTGATACATTATTAACTAAACACATCATTTTTCAGATTTCACTAGTATTTTTCTCTACTGCTGTATTCCAAAATTTCATTCAGGATACCACATTACACTTAATTTTCATGTCTCCTTAGCTTCCACTGGTCTGTGACCATTTCTCATACCTTCCATGTTTTTTTTATTAACTTGACAGTTTTGAGGAGTACTAAGCTTGATCACCTGGTTGAGGTAGTATCCCTCAACTTAAAAGCATAGCACCATGCTTGCTACTTGATAAAAATTTCTTTAATAAACTAATAATTTATCAAGTTGTACATAAAATAAGATCAAAATTCTTTTTATATATTTCTTATTTTAATGTTGGAAACAAGAAAAATAAGTTAAAAACTAGAACACCCGGAGTTTAAAAATAGTCTTAAGCTGATCTAGTTCACAATTCAACTTTTTGGTTTTAGTGTTTATTGGAACATGAATGAATCATTGCCCTTTTCTTTGTTCCCCAGGATTTAACTTCAGGATTTTATTTATCTTCACATCTCATCATGAAAGTGGTGCTCAGCTCTTCTATACATCTTTTAATATATACCAATTTACATTCCCATCAACAGTGCATAAGGTTTCCCCTTTCTCCACATGCTTGCCAACACTTGTTATATTTTTTGTCTTTTTAAAATATTTATTGATTTCAGAGAGGGAGGAATGCAGAGGGAGAGATAAAAACATCAATGAAGAGAGAGAACCATTGATCAGCTGCCTCCTGTACACCACCACACTGGGGATTGAGCCCACACCTGGGCATGTGCCCAGACCAGAAATCAAAATTGCAACCTCCTGGGTCAACCACTGAACCACATCGACTGAGTTCTTCTATACATCATCTTTATCTTTGGAGGTTGGACTTTGAGTAATGAAAGGACTGAAAGAAAGTTTGCATTTTCTGAGCCAATCAACCCAGAGGTTATTATATTAACCCAGATAATAACAGTAGATACAAAGAATGACAATCCATGATAACTAAGAAATCCAAAATGATAGGAGAAATAACTCAGGCTTGAGAGTAAGATGGGGTATCACAGCCAAATGCCTACTTAGGGTTTTTTCTTTTTAAAGCATCGATAAATTGTATGGTACTAACACAACTTAAAAAAAGAGTGGTGTCCTAACCAGTTTGGCTCAGTGGATAGAGG